GGGGGGGGGGGGACAACTTTACTCCCAGAACTTGGGTTATACAGGAAACTACCCTTACCCACTGTGATTAAGTTGTTATAGTTTTCTAGCATCACATTCCTGTACAGGTTCCTTTGAGCAGGATCCAATTGTTGCCACTCTTCCTGGGTGAAGTCAATCGCCACATCTTTGAAAGTCACTGTTTCCTGTAACAACACACTCCTATTTAATCTGAAGTCATCCATCCTAGATGATGTGGGCAAAACATATTGAACTGTGTTCTCATGGTATGCACAGGCAAGAGGTTATAAAACATTTACCTGGTTTTTTAATTTCTAAAAGAAAAAATATCACATTAGCAACATCCTGTCAGTTTATGTTCATTCACTGAATTAGCAAGCACGTATCTTTAATAACCACCATGGGTTAAAAAGATCTTGGGCACCAATTTATATTGAGTGTGGAAGATGGGTGAATATAAAACTTTACTCAAGTTAACTGGTTTGGGAACTCACTAGATGCCTGTGATTCAATGAGGCAGGAAAAAAAAAAGAAAACAGGATTTGGATGGAAACAGAAGCAGGCAGAGAAGGATATCTAAAATTTGTGATATGGTAAAACATCCAACTAGAGATATATGTTGACATATTGTTGGACATACTATTCATTAGATCAGGAGAAATCTACAATGAAATGAGGATTTCTCATTAGCCTATACTAGTTGTCTGCAGCCATGAAAATGGGCTATGATCACTCAGATCATACATTGAAAAAAAGAGGGCTACAGACAGAATCATACACATAACCACCAGACAAAGAAAAAAATTCATCAATAAAGTTTTTCTAATGTTCTGAACTAGAATTACAAGCAGAACTAAGAGAAAACATTATCAAGAAAGCTGTAGAATAAGTTTCAGAAATGAGATGCTGGTGACAAATTTCTTGAAAGCAATGTGATTTAAATATTAGAAATAGAACATATTTTTCTTAGTTAAAAACTAAAGTGCCCAAAGGAATATAAACATAAGAAAAAAATCTTCAAAAGCACCAGAACAAAGGAAGCTGTCCTTTGTTTCCTACTCCTTGAAGAATTTCTATGAGATAAAAAGAAATCACCAGGCCCTAGGTGGTTTGCTTCAGTGGCTAGAGCGTCGGCCTGTGGACTGAAGGGTCCCAGGTTCAATTCTGGCCAAGGGTACATACCCCGGTTGCAGGCTCGATCCCCGGGCCTGGTTGGGGTATATGCGGAAGGCAACCAATCGATGTGTCTCTCTCAAATCAATGTTTCTCTTTCTCTCCTCTCCCTTCCACTCTCTCTGAAAAGCAATGGGAAAAATATCCTCAGGTGAAGATTAAAAAAAAGAAATCACCAGGAGCTAATTCATAATCACTATTTCTAAGAATTTATATCTAGGTCCTAAAAGGATTCTATGAACATAAACATTCACTAACACTAATGGTTCAGAGTAGGCTGTGGGACTAAAGAAATAATTTTTTGAACCCTTTTCTGTTAAAGAACAAGGCCTTTGAAATAAACAGGTTTAAGAAACCAAAGGCAATTATGGCTGAATATGATGTTCCTCATTTGCTTCCCCTTCTCCTACAACAACAATTTGGCACCCATCCACGCACAAAAGTGCCTTTGTGGGAGCTTTGGGATCCACCATATACTGAAGGGCTCCAGAGGAGTCTCACCCACCCATGTCTTGGATAATAGGTATACAGACCTTAGTCCCAGCTCTAGACCCTGTAGTAGCTCATGAAACAACTCTAGTCTCTCTTGGCCATGGTCCAGGAGCCCTTGGAAAAAACTGTCTCAGACAATCACCCATGGATGACAGGTCTCTAGCAGAAAAGTTCCAGGACACCTCTGGAACAAAAAATGAGTTTGGCTCATCAGAAATGGTAAGAGAAACAGTTTGACTTTACTCGCATCACCTCTCCCTCAAGGTAGCACAGATTAGGGCATGAGAGATCATCATCCATAGAGGATCTCACCCACAGAGGAAAGTGAGAGTGAGAATCTGTGTTCCTAGTTGTGCAGGATAGTGCCAAAGAGGCTCATTTCTCTCTTTTCTCATCCTGAGTACTGAATTCTGAGATACATGATGGGGGAAGGAAGAGTCTAGGAGAGTGGAACGTAAGACTCTTGTAGAGCCTTAATGGGACACAGATCCTACTACTGCATTGCAGACTTCATCAAAAAGCCAGTCCATGAGCTTCTGGGTATGCTTTGCCTGTAGACTCCCCCAACACACATCCACGGGCACCCAAAAGCTCTGTAGGCCTCACCCTCTCCACACACACACACACCCAGTAGCTGGTTCCTTGTGCATACTCCCAGTGGTGGTAGTGAGAGCAAGCTTTGGCAAATGACCAGTGAGCATGTGCAGAAAGTCAGCCTGAATCTGCAGGCCAGAGAAAGACCACAAACGTGAGCTTTAGCACTGCCTTTTGGAAAACGAAAGAGAGGTTCTCAGCAAGTACCCTGCCTGGTGTATTGCAGGATCAAGAAAAGGCATACAAGCTTAAGAATTCTGCCACAAGAGGGAAGAGTGGAGTGGGTATATCCATAGAAACTCTGTGAAAGCCTCAGAATCCCTAACAGAGTTGACGAGTTATTTCTATCCTGAAAGCAGTTAGTAGAGACTGGAGGAGGTGACTGTTACTTCAATGAAAAACTTCAAAGAACATGAACGCTGGCTGGTGTGACTCAGTAGATAGAGCACTGGCCCACACACCAAAGGGTCATGGGTTCGATCCCCAGTCAAGGGCACATAGTTGGGGTGCAGGTTCGATTCCCAGCCCCAGTCTGGGCGCATGCAGGAGGGAACCAATTGATGTGTCTCTCTCACATCGATGTTTCTCTCTGTCTCTCCCTCCCCCTCCCCCTCCCTCCCCTCCACTCTCTCTAAAAATCAATGGAAAAAATATCCTTGGGTGAGGATTATCAACAACAAAAATAAAACTTCGAAGAACATGAAGAATCAAGGGAACATAATACCACAAAAGGATCACAATAATCTTTGAGTTACTGATCCCAAAGACTTTGTGATTTGCACCCATCCCCCTCCAAAATTCAAAATAGCTCTTTTAAAGAAACTCAAAGAGCTATAAGAAAACACAGAAACACAATTCAACAATATCAGGAAAACAATACATGAATGAAATAAGAAGTTTAATAAAGATATAAAAAAAGAACCAAACAAATTCTGGACCTGAAGAATACAATGAATGAAATGAAAAATTCAATGGCAAAACGGATCAATCAGAAGAAAGAATCTGTAAGTTAGAAGACAGGAAGTGTGAGTTATTGAGTCAGAGGATAAAAAAGAATGAAGAGAATGAAGAAAACCTCTGTGAATTACAGGACATCACCAAATGAAACTATATTTACATTGTGGGAATCTCAGAATAAGAAGAGAGAGGGGAAAGGGGTAGAAAGATTATTTAAAGAAATAATGCCTGAGAACTTCCCAGATATAGGGAGAGATTTTGATATCCAAGTTTTCATAAAACTCATAGGTTACCAAACAAACTCAATTTAAAGAAATCCTCTCTAAGACACAATAAATAAAACTGTCAAAAATCAAAGACAAAGAGAGAATCTTAAAAGGAGCAAGAAAAAAGAAGCTTATAACATTGAGAACCCCCATTAGGATAACAGATTTTTTAGCAGAAATCTTACAGGCCAGAAGACAGTAAGATGATATATTCAAAGTACTAAAAGAAAGAAAAAATCTGCAAACTAAGAAGATACTATCCACCAAAGTTGTTCAGAAGTGGAGAGAGACTTTCCCAACAAAAGATGAGAGAGTTCATCACCTCTAGACCTACCTTAGAAGAAATGCTGAAAGAAGTTCTTCAAGCTGAAATAAAAGGATGCTAATTAGTAACATGAAAAAATAAAAACATACACACACTGGTAAAGGTTAAGTATATAGTCAAATTTAGGAAACTCTAATACTGCAATATGGTGGTGTGTTAAGCTCTTAACTCTGATCTAAAAGTTAAATAATAAGTATTAAAAATAACTACAACTATAATAATTTGTTAATCACAATATAAAAAGAGGTAAATTGTGACATCAAACACATAAAAGAGGGAAGAGTATAGAGTTTTTGTATGTGATCAAAGTTAAGTTGCTACCAATGTAAAACAGAATGTTATACCTATAAACAAGGCAAAACTAAAGTAGAAACACAAAAGACAGAGAGAAGGGAATCATAAAATCATCCACTCACAAAAGAAGGCAATGAGAAAAAGAAACAAGGGAACTATAAAACAGCCAGAAAACAATGAATAAGATGGCATGAGTAAGACTACTCATCAAAAATTACTCTAAATGTAAATGGATTGAATTCTCTAGTCAAAAGACATAAAGTGGCTCAATGTATAAAAAGAAAACAAGATCCAACTATATGCTCTCTACAAGAGACTCACTTTAGCTTAAAGGACACACATAGGCTCCATGTTGATGGTAAAAGATATTCCATGCAAGTGGAAAATTAAAAAAAGCAGTGGTAGCTACATTTATATCAAATTACACAGAACTTAAGACAAAAACTGTAGCAAGTGACAAAGAAGGTCATTATAAAATGATAAAAGTGGTCAATTCATTACAAAGATATAATTATCATAGATATATATGAACCCAATATTGGAGCACCTAAATAATAAACAAATACTAATAGATATGAAGAGAGAGCTAGACAACAATACAATAATAGGAGACTTCAACCCTACTTTTAAGCATGAATAGATCATGGAGACAGAAAATCAAATAAGGAAACATTGGATTTGACCTATATTTTAGAATACATGAACCTAACAGACGTATAGAGAATATTCTACTCAAAAGTACCAGAATACACATTCCTCCAAGTGTATACAGAGCATTCTCCAGGATAGGACACTTGCTGTGTCATAAAACAAGATAAACAATATAGACAAACCTTTAGCTAGACTAAAAATAATAGAAGAGTCAACTGAATGAACTCAGAAATAGAAGACATTATAATTGATACCACAGAAATACGAAAGTTCATAAGAGACTACTGTAAACAATTATATGCCAACAAATTGGATAACTTAGAGAAAATGAATAAATTCCTATAAACATTCAGCCTACCAAGACTGACTCATGAAGAAAGAGAAATTTTGAACCGACCAATAACAAGTAAGGAGACTGAATCACTAATCAAAAATCTTCCAATAGAGAAAAACTCAGGACCAGATGGTTTCCCTGGTGAATTCCACTAAATATATAAAGAAGAATGGATGCCAATATTTTTCAAACTCTCCCCCCACCCCCAAAAAAAGCAATTAAGTGAAAGGAACATTCCCAGGCTCATTTTGAAACCAGCTTTACTCTTATTTAAAAAAACAAATAAGGACACCACAAGAAGAGAAAACTACAGACCAATATCCACAAAAAATATAGGCAAATTCTCAACAAAAAATTAGTAAAGATTATTTAGGTGTGGAATTTTAACAAATCAAATGCATAGAAACAGAGTAGAATGGTGGTTGCAGGGGGCTGGGAGTTGGAGGAAACGGGGAGATGTTGGTCACTGGGCACAAAATTCCAGTTATAAGGTGAATGAATAACTTCTGGGGATCTAATATACAGCCTAGTGATTATAGTTAACAATAATGTATTAGGCACTTAAAGATTCTACAAGAGTAGATCTTAAATATTCCCACTACATAAAAATTAATGGTAATTATGTGACAGAATGGCAGTGTTAGCTAATGCCATGGTGGTAATAATTTTGTAATATATAAGTATATCAAATCAGCGTGTACACCTCAAACTTACACAATGTTATATGTAAATTGTATCTCAATAAAGCAAGAAGAAAAATTTAAAGACACAAAAGTCAAATTGTCAAGTTAAAAAACTCAAACTTACACAATGTTAAATGTAAATTGTATCTCAATAAAGCAAGAAGAAAAATTTAAAGACACAAAAGTCAAATTGTCAAGTAAAAAAACTCCTGAACTTCTGCTTAACTGGGATAAATCCAAAATAAGCTTGGACAAAGCACTTGGTGAGGAAGTAGGGCTGAGGAGAAAACATAATGCAGAAAGCTGGTCCTAGAATAATCACATTGAAGGACAGGAACACATAAGATAAATTTTTGCTGATACTGCCTCAGTCTCAGATTTCTCCTCAGGAAGATGGATCAATAAACTAACAAATTTTAAAAACCAACACCAAAGATTTTGCGAGAAAATCCTAATTGCACCGAGCTTAAGACTGTGAAAATCCAAAAAGAGATAATTAAAATAAATTTGAAAATATTTAATAATAATAATTTAATAAATGTGAAGGTCTAATCCTAAAATGAGAAATGCTGAACTTACATGCATAAATATCCATATTTAAAAGTTGATATTTTAGGTATAAATAATTAGGTAAATGTTTAATAAGCTAAATGAATAAAAAGAAATTAAAAACATACAAAATTAGGAATAAAACAATCTCAATGACACGAATAATTTACAAGGAAATATGAAAACAACACTGATCTAAAAATAAAAACAGCCCAGCTGGCATGGCTCAGTGGCTGAGCACTGACCTATGATCCAGGAGATCTCGGTTTGATTCATACGTTGATGCTCAACCACTGAGCCACGCCGGCTGGGCAGGATGTACTAATTTAAATGAGGCTGTGGGCCTCAGCACAAAAGATGGTAAGTAGAGTTAACTACATAAAGGGATTTATATACATTAATGAAAAAAGCAGAACGTTGGCACAATTTGTAAATCTTACTCCCTAAAAAGTAAATGTTTGACAAAATGATCAAGTTTAATTACCTCTCTCTGTGGTCTTCACTTGCTTAGATTTTCTCAAAATCATTGGCTTTCTTTTTTTTTAATTTTATTTTTAATTTAATTTAATTTTTTTCATCACCATTTTATCCCCTCTATGCCCTCTTCCACCTCCCCTCCACTCCTGCAATCAGCACCCTGTTGTCTGTCTATGAGTTCTCTCTCTTTCTTTTCTTTTTTACTCAATCCCTCCACCCCCACCCCTACCCTAACTGTTTGCCTGGTCTGCATCTATGAGCCCATCTCTATCATTGGCTTCTTAAAGGGAGAAGAATCTATGTTTGAAGGGCATCAGGAATATTTTAGGATTGCACCTCAAGCTGAGTCCACTTCAGGTCACACATCTCCGCTACTTCCTCCAGACAGATGGATACCAAAAATCCAACTTGGTTGCATTAAAGGTGGGAACTGAAGGACAGAGGATGGAGAGCAGGCACTGAGTGGGGCAGATGTGAGGCTTCCAGTTATATCGAGGATGACTTATTAAATCAACTGAGTCAATGGAGACTTTCAATACACAAAGTTAGAGGACAACATTATTAACAAAAATTAGATCTCTGGGGAAAAATTTGGGGACTTTATTCCAAAAACTATGTCAGTCCTTAATTATCAAAGGAATAATTTGGTCCATAATGAAATGGAAGAAAACATGCATCCTAATTTGATATATGCAAATTAGCATCACCAGGGAAGGGAAATAGTAGCGATATTTGTGTGAAATTGAGGACTCCTTCTTCCAATTACATTTTTCAAAGGTGGTTATTATCTTTTTTCAAAGAACAAAAAATAAATTGAATTCAGCTATGTGTGTATATACACACACATATACAAACTCTTTTATTCCTGGCTTCTCTTATTCCACATTTTTGTGAGATTTATCCATATTATAAGAAGCAATAATCTGTTTTATTGTTATGTAGTCTTCCATAACATGCAATACTATAATTTATCCCTTTTTCTGATAATCTTCATTTCTGTTCTTTCCAATGCTGGGCTATTTTAACATATATTCTTCATTTTATCATTGATCAAAACAGACCATCAAAAAGCTGGGTTTATGAAATACAAGAGGTCATACTGTAATATATTCATTGACTTAGGTGCCAATGAAAAGCTTACTTCTGCTAAGAAATGTTCATTTTTATCCTCATGTACAATGCAAATTATGTACTGAATTTCTGCTCTGGTTTGCTTTACCTGTAATAATGAAATTCAAAATTGAAGTTGAACTGTAATGTCTCTGAATGAATGCTTTTCTGCATAGCCATATTTTAACTCTTTCCTGGTTTTAATCTTCTAACTCTATTTCCTCTGAAAATATATGTTATCCATATAAGATTTTCCAATTTACTAAACAGATTACTACAATCCTCTTAAACTACACCGTAGAATAAAGCAGGGAACAAATAGGCTATTTAAAATTTACCTGGAACTCAGTCATTTCCTCTTTCTGGGAATGAACAGGGCCTGAGAAGGCAGAACTGTAGAAGAGAATAAAAGCCATTAGATCAGGCTTGCTTTGTGGTTTCAGAAACTTGTACCCACAGAGATTAAGGTAACGCTGTAGCAAAATGATATTTGAACAAGAAGTGTTTGTGAGAAGCCTGCTCTCTGTCTCCCTCCTGGTTCTTCATTCTAGGAAGCTTCCTCCACACCCAAATGGGTATCTGAAATTTCAGTGACTTTTCCATTTATTACTAATACATTAGTAAATGTATTTAATTATTAAATGGAAAATAGGCAAATGAGTCCAACATGTCAATAAAGTCTAGTGACACAGCAGTTCTAACTTGCTTCTGATGATACTGTCCGGATCAATTCAACATGGTTTTGTCATTCTTTAGAGCTGATCATTAGGGATACTGCAAGTACTTCTTGGCCCTATCACCACTGCAGACCCTCTGCACCACCTTACACTCTGAGCTGTGAGAGCTGGACCAATTTCTGCCTTGTTCTCTACTGTATCTCCAGGGTCCCCCCAAATGCCTGTCACAGGAATGTGTTCAGGGAAAATGCATTAAATATCTGAATGACCAGCACACAACTGTCCGTCTGTGCATCCAATTTTGAGAACTCAAAACCCAAACCAGACCCTACGCACTCTTTACCCAGCATTTACAATATCATGCATGCCTCCAGCATTTATTCAGTTTTTACGAAGATTACTAATATTAATGATAGCCATTGTTATCAAGGGTGTGTAGGCAACCTTATACTATGCCAATATACTGTAGGTTACTGGAGCCTTAGAGGAGAAAAACTGGATAGATTTAGGGAGCCTTTCATAAGAGCATACATTTTGACCCATCAGTTTCACTTCTAGGACGCTGCACCACCCCCACGACCCCAAAATTAGAAGAGTGCACTATAAACACTGGTGTCTATCAGCAACTTTCTGTATATTGCGGATCTAGGGCAGAAAGTGGGGGACAAGGAGCACGAAGCTAGTGTATGCCACACAAAAAATTGTGGCTAATACACAAGTAAAATTTAAAATAAATAAATATTAAAGTGTTAGGGTTATTGACGTGTCATATAAAAACACAGTTCCTATTACCATAATGGAATAAATGAAACACTAGTAGCCTCACAAATCTACACACACAACCGTACTCCACCTTCCACCCGCGGAGTTTCTCATCCGCTCACGATCCCACCGCAGCCAGGCACGCTGGCACGCACGTTCATAGCGAAACATAAAAGGCCACGCACACCCACAAAATCCTCTTATCCACACGACCCCACGGCCACCCTCAGTCACAAATACCTGGCAAATACAGTAACATCACACGCCGTCTGTAACACGCTCCTCTGGCGGCCTCGGGTAACTACCAGCTGGGGCATAGCCCTCCCGGGCATCCTCCACCGACAACCGTCACCGGTCCGCAGGCCCCTACTCCCACCAAGTCCCGGCCTCGGAGCTCGAGGCTCCCCGGGGACTCACCCCCGAGCCCGCGGACACAGGCCCCAATTCCACATCTCAACGCCGCCCAAGTGGCACGGCGGGTGCGGGCTGCGAAAGAGGCGCCGCTGGGGTCCGTGCAGGCTGCGCTGAGCGGCAGCGCAAGCCCCGGGCCCTTAGACAAAGGACAACACTTCCCAGAGCCCCCCGCGGCTCACCCGGGCCGGCCCGTCCTTTCTGTTTGCCAATAGTGTTAATAACCAACCGCTGCGTTCCTAGGCGCCCAGATCGGCCGAGGAGGCTCGGTTCGAGTTTTACGCCAGCAGCTTCCCTGGATCCCGGCGCTCGCAGCCTGTGGGAGTGCAACTTGGTGCTGGGAAGCATCTGAAAAGGTCCGCTGCTTTCCTGCACCGGACTACATTTCCCAGAGGCCGTCGCGGCCCAAGTCAATTTCTGCAAAAAGTCTCTTTCCCCGCGGGATCTTGGGATTCCTGGGGGTTATGGTGCCGCGTCCAGTAAGGAAGACTCACTCAGTCCGTTTGGTTCCGTCTGGCGCGGGTTCCTCCCGGGTCTGGACTTGAGCAGGACGGGGGGAAACTGGGCCGGTTGGCGGGACGAGACCTGCCAGTCCGAGCCTGGAGCTTCTGGCGGCGGTCAGAAAAGGAAGGAGTTGCTTTGTGTGACTGACTGTGCGCTGAACAATTGGGCAGTGGATTTATGGTAGGGAATTAATGGGGTCGAGAGATTCTGAGGTCGAGTTTTGGCGTCCTGCGAATTTACGACCGTCAGTGTGACCGTGGTCGCGTCGTATCTTTGATTCTGATCCTGCAGTTTCGTGAGAGACAGTGTGTTGTCAATTCTTTGTGTTCCTGCTTTCCTGACTGGCCCCTGTTACAATATTGAAACTTATACGGTTAAGTCAATAAACCAGAGTCACCAAAATATTAAATTCCGTTTTTAGTTTCTTAAAAGTGGAAGGTAAAGCCGTTAATATGAGACCTTTCTTCTTTGCTAGTATAGGTATTTAGTTCTACAAATTTCTCCTGAATTCTGCTTCAGTGACATCCCATAATTTTTATGTAATATGTTTTCATTTTCTTTCAGTTCAGAATACTTTCTAATTTCCTTTCTGATTTCTACTTTAATCTGTTGCTTACTTAGAAATGTGTATGTTTCTAAATACAGGGGAATTATCCAGGTATCTTTCAGCTACTGATTTCTAATTCAACTTCATTGTGGAAAGATGCTTGTTTTGTGGCCCAGAATATGTTCTATCTTTGTAAATGTTCCATGCGCACTTGAAAGAATAAATATTTTTGCTGTTGGTTGCAGTGCTCTATAAATATCAATTAGGTCGAATACTAGTATTTTTCAAATTTTCTATATTTTAACTGATTTTCTAATTGTCCTAGCAATTACTGAGAGTTACACACACACACACACCACAAAATCACAGTCTGGTGACAGAAACTTGTGAGTAGACAATGAGCAAATAAAAAACAAAATATAAACACTATTGCTCTAAGGGAGGATAGAGTTACATTAAGGAGCCGTGGAGTGCCAGGGGAAAGTTATAAGGTAAAGCCTCTTTGGAAATGTGACATTTTTATCTGAATGTAGGGAATAAGGGAAATTTTAAGATGCCTGGCAGAAAGGCCATTTTAGAGAGAGGGGACACATTCACTCCCACCGTCACTAAATCACAAATAGGAGAACGGTATGCAAAGGGTTCTGCTTTCTACCCTGACCCCGCCCTGGAGTCTGCAAGGTAAGCGGTTCCCTGAACTAGAACGCCCGAGAGGAAGGGGCCCAAACAGGCGCTGCCCCCTGCGGCTCAGTCCCTGCTCTAAATTCTTCAGCCCGGGTCGCTAAAGGCGCGCTCTAGTCCTGGACCATCTAGTGTGAAGCTGCGCTCAATCCCTGCTGCGGACCGAAGTACGGAGCTAAGAGGAATTGGGACTTCTGGGCTCCTTCTGGAAGATCCGGGAGAGGCCGGCGTAGGAGGGCCTGGGGCCAAGGGGTGGCGTTTGGAACCCCACTGCGGGCGCTGTTGGACCCTGCAGCGCCGCTGGTTTTTCTGGTCTGGACTACATTTCCCAGTGGACACCGCGCGCAGTAGCCGGCGGCCCTTTTGTGTCCCCCGGACGACTGGTCCGTCCCCTCCCGGCCCGCAGGGGCTGGGTTCCATCAGCCTCCAAGGGCTGTAGGTGGGCCCCGGTAGAAATTGCCCGAACCTTGGAGGCGAAGACGGGGTCTTTCGGCTTCAGCTCTGCTGGCGGGGAGTGGGCTGAGGAGTGGCCTGTGAGTCGCCGGGCCGCGGGTCCCGGGCGCGCTGTGACGTGGTAGCTGTTAGGGTACCGAGTGAGCGAGCCTGTCACTCGAGGTGCCGGCACACATTGTATGTGTGTGACTGTGGCTGCGAGTTAGTCAGTGGTTGGTGCCGCGGAGTGTGAGTGTGCGTAGGGGTGGGAAAGTATTCTCTGTCCCCCGGTTCCCCTGCTCTCAGCCTCAGTGGCTGGGGTGTGTGAGACCGTGGGCTGTGATACCCTAGTATTTGAGGCTTGGGGGTACGGGAGAGAGGGCGACCGTGGAGACCGCGCCCATTCCCGTGGCCACGGACTGCGATGTGTGTGAAACGGTGGTTGACGCTTTAGTTTTTAAGAATCAGTATCTAGGGAGATTGAGGGAGACTGGGTGCCATCCGTGATCTATGGAAGAGGACTGTGGAGTCGGGAGGACCTTTATTTGATCATGGTGCTGTTATTTATTAGTTGTGTTGTCTTTATATAAATGATTACATTACTCGGAGTTTTGATTTGTAAAATCTAGAAAATCTGTTGTTGAAATAATAAATTAGGAAGTGATTTTGGCATGGGTTGAATTGTATGCAAACAAATTCCCCGGTTTCCTTTATGCTCCTCTCTTAACAGGAAGAGAGAAGCTGCAAACTTCTAGGCTGGTGATTTGGATGCTGCAAGGAAAACCTAGCTTCTTACGTTCCCTTTCCCATCTCGGTCATCTGAGCCTACTACCATTTCCCAAGAGAAGAGCCAAGAGGAGGAAACAATGGCTGTTGGACTTCTTAAAACTGTGTACCAGGTGAGTTGGTGTTTCTCTTGCCTGAAATGTTTTCCTGCTTTTTGAAATGAGCAGACATTAATTTGCCTTCTGCTGAAACTTTTCCTGGGTAACCAGTTATGTTATTTCTTAAAACTCCAATGGATTCCCACCCGTTCAGGTGTGGATGAAAAGGGGCCACATACTAAACCTGTAAAGCTCAGGGCCAGCCAGCCTGGCGACCTTGCAAACTCAGAGACCTAAAATAACTACTAAGGGTGGTCTGAAATTAGAACGTTTTAAACATAAGCAGCTTCTGGTTGGTAGCCATGTCCCGAGGCAGTTTTTTTCCCTAACAAAGGTAAATTTTCACCTTAACTAAGTCTGTCTGTTTTCTCTTGCATCTGAGATAACATACCTGATTAACACTTGTCTTTGCAAAACAAAGCAGTTCCCTCTTTTTCTGGGCCCTCAAAGCATGAGTGCAGAGACCACAAATCTCATTGTTATTGATCCCTTGCTAACTATTGACTGTTAACTATCCCGTACCTACCTACATAAAAGAAGTCTGTGTCTATCATTTTACTTTTTAACCCTCTGCCCCAAACTCTTAACAGGAACTTTTCTGCGACATATGAGGTATGTTATTGGTAGAACAGAGAGGGAGAAATTCACAAACTACTCTATATAATTAAGAAAAAAGGTTACTGAGTGGTGAAAAACACTTTAAGAATTTTTATTTGGTAGAGGCAGTTTCTTTAACTATGATAATTATATCAAATGACCAATAATGAAGTCTTTTCTTGCCAGATTTACCTCTTTTAGTTTTGTAAACAAAACAAATTTTACACACACACACACACACACACACACACACACACACACAGAGACATGTAATGTGTTAGTTTCATCAGCAAGTGGTCACATTGTAGAAATCTGGAATCCAACTCAATCACAGCATGGCTTGCAAGTTTTTAAGAACTTTGCCCAGCCCATTTAGGCAGAAGTAATAGTATGAGCGGTTAGGCACTCTTGATTGAAGTATTTGAATTTCAATGTGGCCTCGCACATTTTTTAGAGATATAGCAAGCACTTTCGGGTCCCACTTTTAATCCTCTGATAGCTTGAGCTTTTCGAACCATTCATTTACTAATTCCATTTATTCAGTGAAGGTCTGAACACCTCATGTGTGCCAGATACTCTTCTGTAACTGGGAATATAGCAGTAACTGGGAATGGAGCTTATATTTTAGTGGAGGTGGGGGGGACAGACAATAAATAAAAAAAGTAAGTGCCATAGAGAAAAATAACCAGGGTTAGAGGAATAGAGAACTGGGGCAGGAGCATTGCTGTTTTTATATAGAATGATCAGAGGTACAAAAGCCCTGAAGGGGAGCCTCGGGGCAAAATGAGTGAGGTAAGTGTGGTCAGAGATGAGGCTATTTAACTTTCATTTATTTCATTTCAGGAGTTGGTGACCTTCAGGGATGTGGCTGTAGACTTCTCCCAAGAGGAGTGGGATTGTCTGAATTCATCTCAAAGGCATCTGTACAGTAACGTGATGTTTGAGAACTACAGGATCTTGGTGTCACTGGGTAAGAGTACCTTGCAGAATGGAGCTTCTGTTCGTAAGGGGCTCTTTGCTCCCACCGTTATGAAACTTTGGATCGCGTCTGCAGTGCTTGGTTGAATGTGTGCTGCCTGTGTCAAATAATGATTTCATATTTGTGGAGCTGGCAGTGGACAGGTCTATCATGAACCTGTGTTGGAAGCTTCAGCTTCCCTATGCTTTGAGTACATGTCTTTAACACATTTTTCTCTGGCTCACTATTAAATTCTCTTTTCCCTGATGATCAAAGGATTCGATGTGAGATCTGGGATAGCCACAGCATGACCAAATTCTCTTTCCTTTTATATATGCAGGACTTTGCTTTTCTAAGCCAAGTGTGATATTATTGTTGGAACAAGGGAAAGAGCCCTGGATGGTGAAGAAAGAGCTGGCAAAAGGCTTGTGCTCAGGTGGGTGAAGAAGAAATAGGCAGGCAAAAACCTTTGCAGGGTACAGCTCAGCTTGACTCGGTGTCATCTCTTCACTTTTCTTTGTTGGCGTGTTCTCAGATGCTCTAGGTCTTAGCAGAAACTCAGGGCCTTTTAGGGTGTTCTCCCAAATTTGTTATTCATAACTTTCTCTCCTTTAACACTTTGCCCCTTCTTTCTAATAATTAACTTATCTTTTCTCTGAATCCCATTTCTTCCCAGTTTCATAGGCCTCTTTCAGTCTTTAAAAAAAATATTTTTCTAATCTGATAAACTTTTGAGCTTGACAGACAGCTGTAACTGGTGTACCAGGTTCAAATCCTGACACATGCAGTGAAATTTGGGGCAAGTTACTAACCGATCTGTGCTTTCGTTTTGTTGTGTGTAAAATGGGGTAATACTTTAAAGTGCTTTGAACAGTTCCTATCTCATATTATGAACTTAATAGATATTAGCTATTATTATTATTATTAGTAGTAGTAGTAGTATACCTCTAAATGCCTCATTTTTCTCTTAATGGTCAGTTTATTTTTCCTTTAATCAACATTTTTTGAAATTTTACTTTAAACAAGGTACTTGCAAGATGCTAGGGTGTTATTCACTTATATAAATAAACAATTTGTAGGCTCATTGCAGAGTTATGATATAGCTATAAATGAATGTATGAAGAGAAAGTGACAAACGGGAAACTCACAGAAAAAGGTGAGAGGCAGGGGATCTGGGTAACTGGGAAGATGATGGTCTCTAGCAAAACAGAAAACATTTGAGGGAGAGGATATTAACAGTTTATTTCTGAGGCATAGGAAGAATTTTCATACAGACAGGAAGCGTTAAGGTAAAATAGAGGACTGAAGTTGAGAAGAAAATCAGGGTCTTTATAAACATCTGTGTCAATACCGCTCCCCACTCGGCTACCCTACCGTTTCCCAATTGTTTATGTCCCTGTTCAGTTTTCTGAGAAAAAAAATTGATGTAGAATCGTAGTGTCAAATACATCTTAAATTTTTATTAATTGTTATCAATAATAATTATTAATTATTAACTCACATACATAAATATATATTAGGATATATGTGTCCTTAAATAGTAATAGAACAAAAAGCCCATGAACCTACTTCTTAGTGTAAGAAATAGAAAATTGGCAGTGCCGTGTTAGGTCCTTGCAGGCCCTGCCCAGTGAAATACCACTTCATAACCGTGGTGCATCCCCACCTCTCACTGGGGTAACTATCCTGCAATTTTTGCATATCATTTTTTGGTTTTTCTTTATAGTTGTGTCATATATCCCTATTTTCAACTTTTTATGCACAGAAATATATTGTGTATGTAATTTTGACTTTTTTTAGAACTCAAAATTGTATTCCTGGTTCATTCATATTGATTTTCATTTCGGTGGTTCACTGATTTTTTTTTTTTCCTGACATGTAATGTATTCCATTGTGTAAACCACACTTTATCCATTCAGTCATTTGAATTGTTTCAGTTTTATGCTATTGTAAATGCTACTGCTGTGAACCCTATTAAATGGGACTGCTGGTACACATATATGCTTGAGTTCATATAGAGAATACAGCCAGGAATTTACTAGATAATGCCATTTTATTTTCCAACGTGTTTGTAATAATTTACATTTCTAACAGCTGTGTGTGAGATTGGTCATTGCTCCACACTTGTAATAGACAAAAAATTTTTGCTAGCCTGCTGAGTGTGAAATATTATTTCTTTATACTTGTAATCTGAATTCCCTTGATTACTAAAGAAATTGAGCATATTTTCACATTTATAATGGCCATTTGGATCTTCTCTTTTATGGGGTACCTGTGTTCAAGTCTTTTGCCTGTTTTTAGGAAGGTTGTCTTTTATACATATATTTGTAGTTTATATTTTTGATATTTTGTTTTAAGAAACATTTCTATATTCCAAAGTCATATAGATACTTCCAAATTATCTTCTAAAGATTTTCCTTTTATATGTAGGGCCATAATATAATCAAACTTAATTTTTGAGATTGAAGTAAATTTAATTTTAGTACCGTATGAAAAACCAAATGTTCCAGATAGTTATTGAATAAATGAGCTGTATTTGCTCATTGTTCTGAATGTTATATATTCTATCAGGTTATAGTATTTTTATGGGTCTGATTTTGAGCTCTATTCCATTCATCTCTGTTTCCTTATGTCCAGCCTGTCTTAATTAAAATACTTCATTATAACACTGGATATCTGTCAGGGCAAGTACCTATACCTTGTCTATGTTCTTTAGAATCTTGTTTGCTCTTTGGCCTTTCAAATAAAGTTTAGGGTCTGCTTGTCAATTTCTACCAGAAAACAACAAAGAGCTATTGGCTTTTGATTCATTCATTTATTTATTTTATTTATCAATTAAAATTTTTTTCTCCTTGTAAATTTGGTTTATCTCTCCGTTTATGTAGGTTTTTAAATTTCCTTCAATATGTTTTGTCATTTTCTCCATGAAGGCCATGCACATTTTCTGGTTAGATAAATGTCTAGGCATACTGGTTTTATTGCTATGTTAAATGGTGTCGATATTTTCTATTTGTTGTTTATATGTGAAAATGAAGCTAAATACATTGCCCTTATATCCAGCCACATTGCTAAGCTGTCCTGCTAATGATAATAAATTTTAGACTTCTTTGGATTTTTTTCTGTGAGCAGGCAAATCTGTGAATAATGGCAGTTTCTTCACTTTAAATTCTTATGCCCTTAATTTCTTTTTGTTGTTGTTGCCCTGTCTTCAATCTTCAGTTTGGTATGAATTGAAGTAGTGATAGCAGGTGGACTTATCAACTTCTGGTCTCAATGAGAGTGCTTTAATATTTTGTTATAATAATTCTGATATTTAAAGGTTTTTGGTAGATAACCTTTCAGTTCCATTTACTCGAGTTTTGATTGTGGAAAGCATTTGAGTTTTAGGACATTTTTTTTTCTATCTATAGATAGTTTTTCAGTTTTCATGTGTTAGTGTGGTAAATTACATATTACATTTTTTAATGTTGAACCAACCTTGTATTCCTGATACCAACCCATCTTCATATCTTTTCTTTTCACTGCTAGTTGCTATTCAGCAATGTTTATTTAAGTTTTTTACATCTGTGTGTATCTGTGAGGTTGTCCTTCAGTTTTCCCTTCACATACTCGTGTCATAGTTTGGAATCAAGATTGTCCTAGTCTCATAAAATTTGTTGGTGAGTATTTCTCTTTATCTTCCTTAGAAGAATTTGTGTAAATCATTTTTTTTTTTAATGTTTGGTAGAACTTTGTTCATCTTGGCCTGAGGTGTGTGTGTGTGTGTGTGTGTGTGTGTGTGTGTGTGTGTGAAAATAATTTAAATTGATAATTCAGTTTCTATTATGTTCTAAGATTCTATGTTTTCTATTTCTCCTGTAGTCGTGGAGTTATGGTATTTTTCTAAGAATTTATACTTCTTATGTAAGTTTTCAATTTTATTAGATAAAGTTGTCTATTATTTTCTAAAGTTACAGCATATGTAATTATGGCTTATTTTTCTTTCCAAAAAGGGAGAGACAAATCTTTACAGGAGTTACCAATTTTTTAGTGTTTTCAGACACTTTTCACTTTACTCATCTTCTCTAGTCAGCTTTCTTAAAATTCCATGAATTTCTCCTTTTTATTATATTATTCCTCTTACATTTATTTATTCTTTTTTTTTAACTTTTAAGTTGATAATTTATTGTTTTTGAGGCTTTTTTCCTATTATAAGCATTTAAGGCTGTATTAGTTTTCACGTGTAGTTTTTGTTATCTATATCTAAGCATTTTCTAATTTTCATTGATGTCTTCTTCTTCTTGACTGATGAATTATCTGGAAGTTTTAAATTCCAAATTTAAGATTTTTGCTTGGTTTAATTGCATTGTAATTAGGGAATGTGTTCTGTTTAATATGCATTCACTGAAATTTTTTGAAACTTGCTTTATGTCCTAGGGATTTTGTAAATACTGTTTCCTTAAAAAATAATATCTATTTCCTGGTTGTTGAGTACAGTATTTGATATATGTTCATTGGATTAAGCTCATTAATTTTGCTGGTCAAATCTTCTGTATCCTTATTGATTTTTTTAAAAATTTTTTTAATTGGTTTCAGAGAGGAAGGGAGAGGGAGAGAGGGATAGAAACATCAATGATGAGAGAGAGTCATTGATCGGCTGCCTCCTGCACGCCTTCTACTTGGGATTGAACCTGAAACCCAGGCATGTGCCCTGACCGGGAATCAAATGGTGACCTCCTGGTTCATAGGTTAACACTCAATCACTGATCCACGCTGGCATGGCTCTTTATTGATTTTTTCTTTTTTTAATCTCTTTGAGCAAAGAATTAAGGGGAAAAATATGTTACAGACTTCTGCTCAGTGAATACACAAAATTTTTTTGTAATTCTGACAATTGGTTCTTTATGTTTTGAAAGCATTTTATTAGGTCATATGGTTTTGGAATTGTTTGATCTTTCTGGTGAATTCTTCCTTATATTACTGTTACCCTCTTCAAATCTAGCGATGATTTTTCCCTTAACTATTTTGCTTGATATTTATATAGCTATTTTAGCCTCCTTTTGTTAATATTTACTTGGTGTAGTTTTTTCCACCCCTTTTACTCTCTACTTTCTATTCTATATACTGTTTCTCTTGTAAATAGTGTCTAGCTAAATATTTTGTTTTATGAAATTATACCATTATTTTGTTTAGTAAGTTCTATTTAGATTTACCCACATTTATTATTTTCTTTGTTTACCATTTTTTCCTATATCCTAGAACTTTTCCTAAATCAAATCCTTTATTAATTTTTAGAGATATTCTTTCATATAAACTACTCTGTTATTGTTCTTACTTTGCTCATCTGTTTTATTTTGCTTTATGCATATATGACTCTCATATGTGTATATATAAGTAACAGACAGTTTATTTTTATCAGCACTATCCTGGATATTAGCCTCTTTTCAGATATGTGGTTTGCAAATATTTCCTCCCATACCATGGGTTGCTTTTTCACTCAGCTGATTTGTCCTTAAATGAAAAAAAATTTTCATTTAAGTTCAGTTTGTCTGCTTTTTTGTTGTTCCCTGCTTTTGGTATTATAATAAAGAAATCATTTCCAATTCCAGTGCTATTTTTATGCCAGTACCGTACTGTTTTGATTAGTGTAGCATTGTATTAAGTTTTGAAATCAGAGAGTTTTCTTTTTCAAGATTGTTTTGGCAATTCAGGTTCCATTGACATTCCATATGAATTTTAGGATTGATTTTCCTATTACTGGAAAAAATGTCATTGGGATTATGATAGGGATTGCAGTGAATCTATGAATAACTTTAGGTAGTGTGGATGGCTCAACAATATTAACTGTTTTAGTTCATGATCACAGGATGTCTCCATTTATTTATGCCTTCTTTAATTTCTTTCAGCAATATTTTGTAGTTTTCATGTTATGTCTTTTACCTCCTTGGTTAATTCCTAAGTATTTTATTCTTTTTGATGCTACGGTAAAATGGAATTGTTTTCTTAATTTTCTTTTTAGATTTAAAAAATTTTAAATATATAGAAGTACAACTGATTTGTATATGTTGGTTTTATATCCTGCTACTTTGCTAAATTTGTTTATTGGTTCTAACAAGTTTTTTTGGTGTGTGGAGTCTTTAGGGTTTCTATATTTAAGATCATTTATAAACAGATAATTTTACTTCTTTCTAATTTGGATGTTTTAAATTTGTTTTTCTTGCCTAATTGCTATGGCTAGAATGTCTAATACTATACTGATCAGAAGTGGTGAAAGTAGGTATTCTTGTCTTGCTCTGATTTTAGAGGAGAGCTTTCAGTCTTTTACCACGGAATATGATGTTACCTGTGGGCTTTTCATATTGGTCTTTATTATGTTGTAGTTTCCTTCTATTCCTAATTTGTAGTGTTTTTTATCTTGAAAGGATGTTGAATTTTGTCAAATGCTTTTTCTGCATCAGTTAAATGAGCTAGTGGTTTTATTTCCTTCATTCTGTTAATATGTACATTGACTTTTGTTGAACTATCCTTGCATTCCAGAAATAAATCCCACATTGTCATGGTGTATAATCATTATAATATGCTGTTGAATTCTGTTTGCTAGTATTTTGTTGAGGATATTTTTATCAGTACTCATATAAGATACTGGTCTGTAATTTTCTTGTAGTGTCTTAGTCTAGCTTTGGTATCAGGGTGATGCTGGCCTCATAGAATGAGTTTGGAAGTCTTCCCTTTTTTTTTTAGAAGAGTTTGAGGAGGATGGATGTTAATTCTTTAAATGTGTGATAGAAGTCATCACCGACACTCTCTGGTCCTAGGCTTTTGTTTGTTGGGAGGTTTTTTATTACTGATTCAATCACCTTACTAGTTATGGGTCTGTTAAGATTTTCTGTTTCTGTATGATTCAGTCTTGGTAGGTTATATGTTTCTTAGAATTTGTCTCTTTTGTCTAGTTTATCCAAATTGTTGGTATACAGTTGTTTAGAGTACAATTGACCCTTGAACAACTGGTTAGGGGTGCCAACCCCCCACATAGTCAGTAATCTATGTATAACTTTTGATTCCCCCAAAACTTGACTACTAATAGCCGACTGTTGACCAGAAGCTTTACCAATAACATAAACAGTTGAGTAGCACATATTTTGTATGTGATACATACTATATACTGTATTCTTAAAATAATGTAAGTTAGAGAAAATAGAAAATGTTAAGAAAATCATAAGGGAGAGAAGATACATAAGTGGACCCACACAGGTTAACCCATGTTGTTCAGGGGTCACTGTACTTTCTTATAATCCATTTTATTTCTGTAAATAACACTTCAACGAATATAGGAGTGTGTGTATTCTTTTGAATGAGTGTTTTAGGTTTCTTTGGATATATTCCCAGAAGTGGAATCACTGGCTTTACATTGTTGATTCTTTATATACAAAAGCAAAGTGTATATCTTCTCCCTTTATTCAGATTTTTGAGGGTGGGACCATCATTAGAATTATAAAGCTTTTGCTCATTTCTTATAAATTTATTTCCAGGACATTTTCTGTCTTCATTGTTGCTGTGATCAACGTTAAAGGTATCTTCTGAGGTTATTTTCTTTATACTTTCTTCAATTGCTTTTATAAAATTCTAACATTTTGAAATAATATATTAAAAATAAAGAGGTATGAATAGTACCGTAATCTCATAGTTTCTCAATTCTATTATGTGCCTTTTATTTAATGATTCACTTATGGTATTTTACAAGTCAACTTATACATAATTCTTTTTAATGGTTATTATCATTAGATATTGCTATTAATTATTTTGTGATTTTTTTTAAAAGAACTTTAGGTTTTAGTTTTCAATTACAGTTTACATTTACTAATATTTTGTGTGTCAGGTGTATATCATAGTGTTTAGATAATCACATACATTGCAAAGCGTTCACCCAATATTTCGATTACCCACCTAGCACCATACATAGTTATATTATTATTGACTATTCCCTATGTTGTACTTTGCATCCTCATGGCTATTTTGTAACAACCAATTTGTACTTTTTAATCTGTTCACCTTTTTCACCCAGTTTCCCAACCTCCATCCCCTCTGGCAACCGTCAGTCTGTCCTCTTTTTCTATGAGTTTGTTTCAATTTTGTTCATTTATTTTGTTAGATTTTCCATATAAGTGAAATTCTATGGTATTTGTCTTTCCCTGACTGATTTATTTCACTTAGCCTAACATACTCTGGGGTCATCCATGCTGTTGCAAATGGTAAGGTTTCATTCTTTATTATTTGCTGAGTAATATTCCACTATATATAAAATAACGTTTTTATCCACTTTCTATTGATGGGCACTTGGGTTGCTGCCACATCTTGGCTATTGTAAATAACACTACAATGAATATAGGAATGTGTGTATTCTTTTGAGTGAGTGTTTTAGGTTTCTTTGGATATATTCCCAGGAGTGGAATCACTGGGTAATAAGGCACTTCCAGTTTTAATTTACTGAGGACCCTCATATTTGCTGCATCATTCTGCATTTCCACCAACAGTACATGAGGGTTCCCTTTTCTCCATATCCTTGCCAGCACTTGTTTTTTGATTTATTGATGATAGCCATTCTGACAGGTGTGAGGGGATAGCTCATTGTGGTTTTAATTTGCATTTCTCTTAACAATTAACGATTGTGACCATCTTTTCATATGTCTGTTGGCTATCTGTATTCCTCTTTGTAGAAGAGTCTGTTTAGCTCCTCTGCCCATTTTTAAATTGGATTGTTGTCTCTTTAATGTTGACTCCTATGAATTGTGGAAGCAAATGACAGTTTTACTTCTTTCCAGTTTGGATGCCTTTTACTTTTTTCCTTGTCTGATTGCTGTGGCTAGAACTTGCAATACTATGTTTAATAAAAGTGGTGAATGTGGAGATCTTGTCTTGTTCCTCATCTTAAAGAAAAAAATTTTGGCCTGACACCATTGAGTATGATGTTAGCTGTGGGTTTTTCATAGGTATTCTTTATGTTGAGGCATGTTCTCTCTATTCCCACTTTAGTGAGTTTTTATTTTATAATTTCTTCATCTGAGATTTACCTTACTGATTTTCCTATAATTCTAATCATTCCTCCCCAACTTTCTGTATAACCTACTTTTAGTTTTTGTTCTTACACACTTCAGAATCATGTAAGCCAACGTGCTTGTTGGTTTTATTTGCTATTAAACTCACATACTTCACTTTATGTACTTTCATAAATGTACCACCTGGTACATAAAGAGGAGACATGCTTTTCTTACTATTTTTCAGGCTGGGAATCTGTGTGTGACAGTAAAGAATTAAACCAAAAGCAGGACATTTGTGAAGCACAGTCATCTCAGAAGATAATAGAAAAACTTACAAGCTATGGCCTTGAGTGCTCCAATTTGAGAGAGGAATGGAAATGCGAGGGCCATTCTGAGAGACAACCAGTGAATCAGAAGGCATATTTCAAAGAAGAGAGAATTACTAATGAAGAAGCCCTTGTTTATGAAACAGGACAAGAATATAACAAATCTTGGCAAGTTTTCCATCTGAACACGCTTCATACACAGCAGGTAGTTCCAAAAGAGGAGAAAGTACATAAACATGACACACATAAGAAAAGGTTTAAAAATAATTTAACTGCTATTAAACCCAAGAATATCTATACAGAGAAGAAACTTTTGAAATGTAATGAATGTGAAAAAGTTTTCAGCCAGAGCTCATCCCTTATTCTTCATCAAAGAATTCATACTGGAGAGAAACCCTATAAATGTGTAGAATGTGGAAAAGCGTTCAGCCAGAGATCAAATCTTGTTCAACATCAGAGGATTCATACTGGAGAGAAACCCTATGAATGTAAGGAATGTAGGAAAGCATTCAGTCAGAATGCACACCTAGTTCAACATCTGAGAGTTCATACTGGAGAAAAGCCTTATGAATGTAAAGTGTGTAGGAAAGCTTTCAGCCAGTTTGCCTACCTTGCTCAACATCAGAGAGTTCACACTGGAGAGAAACCCTATGAATGTATTGAATGTGGGAAAGCATTTAGCAATAGATCATCCATTGCTCAACACCAGAGAGTTCATACTGGTGAGAAACCTTATGAATGTAATGTGTGTGGGAAAGCATTTAGCCTTCGTGCATACCTTACTGTACATCAGAGGATACATACTGGAGAGAGACCCTATGAATGTAAGGAATGTGGGAAGGCCTTCAGCCAGAATTCACACCTTGCTCAACATCAGAGAATTCATACTGGAGAAAAACCTTATAAATGTCAGGAATGTAGGAAAGCATTCAGCCAGATTGCCTACCTTGCTCAACATCAAAGAGTTCATACTGGAGAGAAACCCTATGAATGTATTAAATGTGGGAAGGCTTTTAGCAATGACTCATCCCTTACCCAACACCAGAGAGTTCATACTGGAGAGAAACCTTACGAATGTAATGTTTGTGGAAAGGCTTTTAGTTACTGTGGATCCCTTGCCCAACACCAGAGAATTCATACTGGAGAGAGACCCTATGAATGTAAGGAATGCAAGAAAACCTTCAGACAGCATGCACACCTTGCTCATCATCAGAGAATCCATCTTGGGTTATCAATCTCACCACCTAATTCAGTCAATCACTAAGTCCTATAGACCCTATTTTTTAATGTCACTCCAGTCTAAGATCCTTTTCACCGTTATCACTGCTATAGCTTTTCTAATAGACCTTCCTGTATCAATTTTGGTCTCCTTAAATTTATTTCTCACCATGCACACAAAACTATCTTTTTGAAGTGTGAGGATATATACGTTACTGCCCCCAATTAAAACATTTTTAGCTTGCTATTCTTAAGCTAACATTCACAGTCTTTAAAATTGTCAGTGACGTGCTTTATTATCTGGTTCTTATGTACCTCTCAGCCTTATTTTATATTAGTCTTTCTGGGCACTAAGAACTTCCCAGGATGAAAAGCTTAGATTCTAGAAAATTATAGCTCTACCATTACTGTGGGATTATGTGGCTTTGAGTAATTTGCTTGACTTATTTAAACCTCAGGATTTTCTTTAATTTTAAAATAGGGATAATAAAGGGTACTGTATTTTAAAATGTATTCAATGAAATAGTGTATATTGTAAATTGATATATATTAAGAATTTTGCATGTAAAGTACTTCATATAGTGCTTTAAATATAGCACATATTCAATAAGTAATAATAGCTAACATTTAATGAGTGCCTACTATGCACCAGGCATTGTTCTACATACTTAGCATATATTAACTCACCCCTCATAGCTAAAACAAGTAGAACACCCTTGGGAAATAGGTCATAATTGGGAAACCTAAAACTTTTAGAACACAAGTGAAGTCTTTGTACTCTAGGTGACCAATCAATATAGACAAAGTAGTAGAAATATAACACTTATAACCAGTTTTAGGAAGTTTCCAGAGAGAATGAATTGGATACACCAATTAAAATAAGAATTTACTGAGAATACAGAGCTTACATTTAGAAAAAGGAAAGGATAATCACAACTCAAAACAGTAACAAAACAAAACTCATAAATATAAACATTCATACTGTTCCAGAAAAAGGCACCAGGCTTGGGTAGTTGTATGATTGAACCTAGGTAATTTCAAAGCATTTAAACTGTTCTGTGCTGTAGAAAAAATATAATATTTATAAGTATTTTTATCTAGTGATTGTAAAATTGAACTCAAAAGGGGACTTAGGGAAGAAAACACACACATGCATATCATTTCATTCATTTAGTGAATATTGAGTAGCTACTATTTGCCAGGTACTTTCACTGTTACAGGCATGAGACAATGATGATCAATACAAAGACTGTGTTCTCATGGAGTAAAGTTCCAAAAGCTGAGAGTGTTAATACTGAAATATAAACATTGATTTTTACACTCAGAAAATTGAAGAATGAACTAAGTTGAGGGGTATTAGATAGTTGAGACTGAAGATAACAAAGTTACCAATTATTCCTAAATCACAAGTTCACTGCATTTTGAACCAAAATTTCTGAATGGGCCCTTTTCTCCATTTTCATGACTTTGTTCTGAAATTCATCTATGAAATATGAATTCTTAAGAATGGCAAGAAAATTCTTGAGTATGATCTATTTGTAGGAATTTTGCATATGATAAAAATGGTTCATACCAGTAAAGAAAGGGTGGATTCAGGGATATTAGAATAATTGACTATATGCGCCACTAGTAGTAAGAGAAATGCAAGCAAAACCACAATTAACTACTTCAAGATCATCACATTGGCAAAAGCATTATATTGCTAATGATTAAAAAGATACACAGCAATAGGAATGTTAATACAGTGCTATATGCAAATAGTTGTGTTTAGAATTATTAAGCAATATCTAGTAAAGTTGAGGATGTGGATACCTTTTGATCCAGCAAGTCCACACTTCAACCTCTACAGAATCTCTGCTCAGGTGTTCAGGGAGACGTACTTGAAGTTCCACTTCAGCATTGTTTGTGAGAAAGTTGAAAGCAATCAAAATAACCATTAGGGTGAATATAAATTAGAACCCAAGTTAAAATGAATGAACAAGATATAATTCTGTCAACATAGACAAATCTCAAAAACAATGAAATTGAACCAGAGAGTATTTTGTATAATATGGTACCATATATATATATGTGTGTGTGGTGTGTGTATCATGCAAATCAACACATTTTTTTTCTATTGCTAAATACCATATAGAAATAATGTAATAATATTTATAGAAATTCAGAACAGTGGTGACCTCTGGGGAGGGTGAATAATGAGATTGAGGAAAGGATGCAAATAATCATTTATTTCTTCAAAATATAAGTATGGCCAATTCTTATAATTTGATAAAGTTGGCCATGGGTTTATAGATAGGTTCTTACTCTCTGTATATTTTGTATATTTAAACTATTTCATAATAAAAAATATTTAAATGATGCTTCCTTTTGTCAGTTATTTACTTACTCTACCTCAGGTGTTCCCATTGATATTCACCATTCTCTTTAGAAAGAAGCTCATAATCAACTTCCAGATGCATTCACTGTTAACAATTTGGTGACTATCCTTCCATGTCTCAGGATTTTGAGAGGCTATACTTTTACACTGAGCATTTTGTAGCCTACTTATTACGTGTTTCCCCCATTCTCCCGTCTCCCAACTTTCTTGAGGTATGGTTGACAAAATTGGATATATTTAAGATGTACAACATGATGTGTTGATTTATTTATACAGTCATTACCACAGTCAAGCTAATTAACATGTCCATCACTTCATATAGTTACCACTGCATGTGTGAGCATGCATATGTGTGGTGACAACACTAGAGATCTCTTTTAGCAAATTTTATGCATATAATACATTAAACATGCTGTGGATTATGTGTTCACAATTTACTCATCTTTGTACCCTTTGATCAATACCTCCCCTTTATCCACCCCCAATCTGTTGCTAACTGCCATTCTCTTTTTCTTTTTTAAAGAATCCACATGGCAGTGAGATTATGTTGTATTTGTCTTTCTGTCTGGCTTATTTCACTTAGCATAATGTCCTCCGGGTTCATCCATGTTGTTGAAAATGACAGGATTTCCTCCTTTTTTAAGACTAATATTCCACTGTGTGTATGTACACGCAATTTTAAAAATTAGTCTATAGACCCTAAGGTTGTTTCATTTTTTTAAAATTTCTTTGTATGTATACTCAGAAATGGGATTGCTGGGCTATATGGCAGTTCCACTTTTAATTTTTTGAGGAACCTCTATACTGTTTTTCATAATGGATGTACCAATTCACATTTCCACCAACAGTGTAAAAAGGTTTCCAATTCTTCACATACTCTTCAATGCTTGTATCTTTTGACATTTTTAAAAATTATTATTTTTTAAATATGTCTTTATTGATTTCAGAGAGGGGGAAAGGAGAGGGAGAGAGAGAGAGAGAAACATCAATGATGAGTGAGTCATTGATCGAGCCCACAACCTGGGCATGTTTTCTGACCGGGAATCAAACCCCAATCACCTGGATCCCAGGTCAACACCCAACCGCTGAGCCACGCCTGGCCGGGCTTTACATTTTTTAAATAACCGTCCTAAAAGGTGCAAGGTGATATGTCTTTGACGTTTTTGTGGTTTTCATTTTCATTTCCCTAATAATTAATGATGCTGAGCATCTTTTCACGTACCTGTTGGCCATTTGCCTTCTTTTGTAAAATGTCTAGTCAGGTCCTTTGTCCATTTTACTTTGTTTTTTGGTGTTTTTTTGGTATTGAGTTATATTAGTTTCTTAAATAATTTGGATATTAAGTCCCCATCAGACTTATGACTTTCAAATACTTTCTCCCATTTCATAGGTTGTCTTTTTATATTTTTTATGGGTTCCTTTGCTGTGCAGTAGCTTTTTAGTTTGATGTCCTAACATTTTTGCTTTTGATGCCTATTTTTCATGTCAAATACAAAAAATCATTGTCAAGACCAATGTCAGGGAACATTTTCTGTTTTCTTATAGTTTTATGGTTTCAGGTTTTACCTTTATGTCTTTAATACATTTTGCATTATTTTTCATATAAGGGTCTAATTTCATTCTCTTGCATGTGGATGGATATTCACTTTTCCCAACACCGTTTATTGAAAAGACTGTCCTTTCACCATTGTGTATTCTTGGTGCCTTTGTAAAAAATTAGTTGACTGTATATATGGAAGTTGGTCCATAATCATTCATTCTTTTTTAAAATTTTTATTGCTTTTTAAAGAGGAAGAGAAAGAGAAACATGGATGTGAGAGTAACATTGACTGGCTGCTTCCTGCATGCCCCCCACCGGGAATCAAGCCTGCAATGGGTCACGTGCCCTGACCAGCAACCTTTCAGTGCACGGGATGACGCTCAACCACCTGAGCCACACCAGCCAGGGCATCATTTATTCTTAAATACTCAGAAACCTAAGCATATACGTTCTTTTTTACAGGCAAAAGGAAAGAAACCATTATTTGGACAGTTGATCCTGGAAAACATATGGAGTCTGTATGATGCTGTCTTTTAAATGCCGTCTTTTAAAGGTTAATGTTTACGGGGAACCATTTTTTATGCAGCATAATTTATTTAATTTGTTGTTTCTACCCTAAATATCTAGACTTCTAATAGACCAGTTACTACCCTTTCTGAAGTGTTTTCTTAGATGTTAAAAGGAGATAATTCTACCTTTGTCATAGAACTGTTACATGAATTTATCATAACTCATTAAATGCCTAGCAATCCTAATGGTAGTTATTATTTTATAAAATGTATGGTGTAGGAGAAAGGAAACAAGGAAGCAAATGGTGTAGGGCCATTACAGTATTAATGGCACAAGATATGCCTTGTGAGATGGAGTGGGAGTCTTACTGAATGTCTTGTGTATAAAAACAATCTTCAGTTTTCTAGTCTGAGATGGGTAGATTCTCATTCTCCATAGCCCTAAGGCAATGCCACAACTGAGATTTCTTCACCCATAGCACTCCACATCCAGATACAAAATTTTATGTCCTTAATAATTTTGTCAACAAGAAAATGGCAACAGCATCAATAAGTTTATTTTCACTTCTATATAAAGAAATACAGGAAGCAGGGAGACCAGAGTTGTTATGGCGATTCCATAAAATCAGCAGAAGTGTATATCTGTTCTGTATTTCTGCTCCACCATCCTTGATACCCATTCTCAAAGTTCCCATAAAACTGACAAAACTGCAGATTAAATGCCCACATTGTAGGCAAAAAGAAAAAATAGAGAAAAAAAATTGCTTAAATGTCCTACTCATACAAAATACCATTTCCACTTTGATCTGCACAGGGAGCTGACATAGGTTTTCAACCAAGAATTCTGTCACTAATGAAGGGAAATGGACATTGGGCAGAAAAACAGTCTCTGACGTAGACTCTCATTTTTTCATTGCAAAATAGTCTGTAATGTCAGTTTTTATTTTCAGTTTAATCAAAACCTGTAAAGCCAAGTTTTTAAAAAGTTTTTAGTAGAAAGACTTTGGGTATCTTTTTTTTTTTTTTTCATTTCTAAATAATATTCTTGAATTCTGTCCAGAAATAGTAGAAATTAAGAGTTTTTGGACTTTGTTACAATTCACTTAACACCTCTTCACAATCTACTGGTTAAACCTACAGTGTTATTTTCTACAGTATGAATTTCCTCTTGTAGCATATTGGATGAAATCTAAATGAATGTTTTCTCACCCTTATTATAGCATACAGTGCCCCCCACTCAAATAATTGGGGTTAAGTGCTAAATGAAAGATTTCTCAGTATTCATTATATTCATAAGTGTCGTCCTCTCATGCAAATTATCTAACACTATAATGATAGCTAATATTTGTCTTATGCTATGTTCAAGGCACTGTTCTAAAAGCTTTACATGTAATAACTGATAATATTTTCAAGAATCTGGTATGGAAGGTATTATTAGGTTTCCTTACGAATGATTAAGCAAAAGTAGAGATTTATCATAACAAATGTTATGAAGCAGAGCAACTGATAGTCAAGGTAATGTTGAAAAAGACATATGATATGGCTAAAAGCCTTCCAATATTTCCTACATTAACTAATTAGTATTAAAATTCACTAAAGTTTAGTTGGTTTTCAGTAGGTTTTTCTATATAGATTACATTATCATCTTTCCCCATATAAATTCACTGATGCAGAGCTTTATGAGGCAAGTGTGGTCCCATATTCACATTTTAAAGATTCTTGGATGATAATGGGTTAATAACCACAAAAGGCTCTCTAATCATAAAGATTCAAATAATTCATATATAAACTTGTGAGCCATGAGTAAAGTCGATTCCACATTCCTTATATTTAAAAGATTTCTGACTGATGTGAATTCTCTGATGTTGAGTTAGTTGTGAACCACGAGTAAAGGTCTTCCCACATTCCTTACACTGATATGGTTTTTCACCAGTATGAATTCTCTGATGTCGAGAAAGGTGTGAGCTCTGAGTAAAGGCTTTTCTACATTCTTTGCATTCATAGGGCTTCTCACCAGTATGGATTCTTTGATGCAGAGTAAGTTGAGAACCATGACTAAAAGCCTTCCCACATTCCTTGCATTCATAGGGTTTTTCTCCAGTGTGAATTCGCTGATGTTGAGTAAGTTGTGAACCACGAATAAAGGCCTTCCCACATTCCTTACACTGATAAGGTTTCTCACCTGTATGAATTCTCTGATGCTGTATAAGTAGTAAGCCACGAGCAAAGGCCTTCCCACATTCATTACATACATAGGGCTTCTCACCAGTATGAAGTCTCTGATGTTGAGAAAGATGTGAACTCTGAGTAAAGGCCATTGTACATTCCTTACATTCATAAGGTTTCTCACCAGTATGGATTCTCTGATGTTGAGTAAGCTGTGATCCACGAATAAAAGATTTCCCACATTCCTTACATTCATAGGGTTTCTCACCAGTGTGAATTCTCTCATGTTGAGTAAGTTCTGAGCCACGACTAAAGGTCTTTCCACATTCTTTACATTCATAGGGTTTCTCCCCAGTATGAATCCTTTGATGCCGAGTAAGGAGTGAGCCTCTATTAAAGGCTTTTCCGCAGTCCTTACATTGATAGGGTTTTTCACCAGTATGAATTCTCTGATGTTGAGTAAGTTGTGAACCATGACTAAAGGTCTTTCCACATTCCTTACATTCATAGGGCTTCTCATTTGTATGAATTCTCTGGTGTTGAGTAAGTTGGGAACCACGGATAAAGGCCTTCCCACACTGTTCACATTTATAGGGTTTTTCACCAGTATGAATCCTCTGATGTTGCATAAGTAATGAACCACGAATAAAGGCCTTCCCACATTCTTTACATTCATACGGTTTTTCCCCATTATGAATTTTCTGATGTTGAGAAAGCTGTGAGCCACAAATAAAAGCTTTCCCACATTCCTTACATTCATAGGGTTTT